TCAGGAGAGGCGGGAGGTGCTGGACAGAGCGCAGGGTCCGGCTCCAGTTGCTGCCTGAAGGGAAGCAGCAGAAATCCCCCAAAAAACAGAGAATGGGCAGCAGGGAAAGGTCAGGCCGTGGCTGAGGGGCTCCAGCCCTCCCGGGACCCCCCTTACAGACTCCTGTTTACCCGTTGTTGCAACAGGACTGGCAGTTCCTCAGCACACAGATGGATGGAAAGCTGCTCTCTGAGAAAGGGGAATGTGGGAACACACACTGCTCCTGGTGGGGCTCCTGCTGCCATTTTCCCTGATTTCTTACAGCAAGTTCTGTAGCAAGAACCCAGACCATCCATAGGGCTGCCCATCCCCAAATCCTCAACACGTGGTGGAAAAGTGGGAAAACACCAGGCCCTGCAAAGCTGGCTGCCCCCTCGGAGCGTGGGGAGCTCCAGCCCCTCGGCACCATCCACCCCACCTTGCCCTGGTCCTTATGGAAAAGAAAAATAATTACAGAAAAAATAATTACAGCATTGATTCCAAACCCTCAGGACTTCAGCCCAGGAAAGAGCTCCTGGGAAGGGCCCGACTCCGCCAGGAAAACCGTGCAGGAGATAAGAAGTAAAAGAGACGGCCGTTTATTAAAATACACCCTCTGTGTCCTTGTCCTGGTGCCCACTCACACCTTTCCCGGCGGCGCTTCCGAGTCCTCCCCGCGGCTCTCGGCCGGCGGCAGCTCCGATGCCGGCAGAGTGCTGGCCTGGCTCCAGCGGCTCCCTGGCTCCGAGCCGTCCCCGGGCAGCAGCGGGACGTAGGGATCCTCGGCCGGGCCGCCCAGCTGCTCCTCCACCACGTACCTCGTCCCCCACGCCTCGCTGGGATGCACATCCACGGCCACCAGCGCCGCCTCCGCGCCGGGAGAGCCGGGCTCCGACACCTCCCCGGCCTCCAAGTCCGAGTCCGCCTGCGGGAAGCCCGAATCCTGGGTGGAGTCCGGGCTCTGCTCGGGCAGGCTGGTGTTGATGTAGATGGCCTCCCCGGAGCCCTTGGAGCTGGGCAGGTTTTCCAGCAGCTTCTCCAGGTGGGCCTTGAGCTGGGAGAAGGTCGGGCGGGTGGCGGGGTCGGCTCTCCAGCACGCGGACATGACCTCATACCTGGGAATCGGAGAGGAGCGTGGTTACCTCAGAGGATCCCACACTCCCACAATCCCAGACTGATTTGGGCTGCAAGGGACCTTAAAGCCCATCCAGTTCCACCCCCTGCCAAGGGCAGGGACACCTTTCCCTATCCCAGGTTGCTCCAAGCCCCGTCCAACCTGGCCTTGGACACTCCCAGGGGTGGGGCAGCCACAGCTTTTCTGGCAGCCTGTATTTCTCTGGATTAAGGGAGATATGGGGTTAATTCCCAGCTTCCCTGCAAACTGGGCAAGCCTTGAGCTTTCCATTAAAACAAAACAAAAACAACTCCCTCTGCTCAGGCTGTTTTCCAGGCTGATCAGCTCAAGCTGCTGTTACAAGTGTTACAAGGCTCTCCCAGTGCAGCCCTGGGATCTGTTCCCTGGGAACATCCCAGTTCTGAGTCAGGCATGGTCAATCCTTCTCTTGGCAGGTGCCTGCTCCCAGGCTGGATGTCAGGGAGCACTGGGAGCTCCCAGCAGGTCCCAGCTGGGCACTCTCTGCCTCTCCACCCTCGGGCAGGCAGGATCTAAAAGGTTCCTTTGCCGCTTCCTTCAGGACCAGGCGCTGGAGAGGAGCCTTTTAGGAAACGTTGCACAACTTGGTTTATCCGGTTTGGATTCCTAGCCATGGGGGGATTAAACATTTTCAGCTCTAATGGCACCAGAGAAAACTCAGGAAGGAAACTCGGGAGAAAAGCCTTTGCTGAGCTGCTCAGAAATCCAGGTTTGACGTTTCCAGATTTATGGATTTGAGGCCATGAAGGGCCCTAGAGGGAGTTTTGTGGGGCACAGAGGGGCATCACCAGCCAGGACCTCCTGGCCAAAACTGTTTTAACCAAAAAAATAAAGAAATAAAGCCCTAAAAAACCCCTGTCCCTGACTGCTCCTGGTGACCTCGGCACATCTGTGCAAACCCATCACTTCTCCCTGGGACACTTGTTGGGATTTTTGCCTGGAGTTCAGCTGCTTTCCCCTGCCTGGGTGACACACTGCTCTGCTCCAGGACGTGGCTTCCTTGAGGCACATCAAAACTCGGGACGCTGTGCAAGTCCTACGGAGCTCATTCCCAGGATACTTCCATTCCGGGCATGGCGGAGCCCAGGAGCAGGGGCTCCGGTACTCACAGCTCCTCTGAGCAATCCTCGGGCTTCTTGAGGCGCTGCCCGTGGAAGAGGAACTCGTAGATCTCGTGGTTCTGCACCCCCGGGTAGGGCGTCATCCCGCGCGTCGCGATCTCCCACATCGTGACGCCGAAGGCCCACTGAGGGGGACACAAAGGGA